GACTGTGTGCCAGGCCATTTGCTAATCACTGAGGGAATGGAACAAGGACTAGGGACCTGTAGTCTCTGTCTTCCAGCAGTGTGTGTGGGAAAGAGAGAGAGAGAGAGAGAGAGAGAGAGAGAGAGAGAGAGAGAGAGACTAAAACTGAACAATATATGCAAGTAAATTTTTAGTTTGACTAAACTTTTCTTGTTTTTTGAGATAGGGTTTCTCTGTGTAGCTTTGGAGCCTGTGCTGAAACTCCCTCTAGACCAGGCTGGCCTCAAACTTACAGAGATCCGCCTGCCTCTGCCTCCTGAATATTCATCTTTATTTGAGGCACATGTGTATTTTTTTTAAACAAACCCTGCTCATGGCGTTTCATGCTAGCTATCCATTCCCTTTGGCAAAACAGAGCACATGCCGTAGACCTGGCTTCTTGTCAGAGCTGTGCCAGCTGAGTGACCTTGTACTAGTCTTGAGACCTCTGCTGCTATTGGCCCATCTGACACGGTGGCTAGAAGGCTGTCGATATGGAAAGCATTTCATAAGATGAAAAACGCCATAAATGTATAGTGTGGCTCTAGTCTTCACTAGCGATGTCTCTGTGATTGCTAATTCTTCAGTTGGTCATCCTCTCTATGGAGAATCTGAATGCAGGTGAATGAACGCGTGGCTTCCCAGTCTGGTTACTAGCTAAGCTACCCGGAGTTCTGTGTGTGTTTTCTATGAACAGACATGCTTTTCTTTTGTTCTTCAGCTTTCATCATGCTCTTAGAGTATTTGTGTTAATTAATTTTCACTGTCAACTCAACTGGATTTGGTATTACCTAGGAGACACATTTCTAGGCTTGTCCATGAGGGTATTTCTAGAGTGCTTTAACTGAAGTAGATCTAGCCAGAGAGAGGACAATACTGTTGCATAGGCTAAGCTCCCAGGCTGAATAAAAAGGGAAAAGTGAGTGTCAGCACAGCCTGGAGTCTCATCTGCATGCTTCTGTTACCACAAACGGACACATCTTCCCTGCCACACTGGACTGTGACTTCCGAAACTGTAAGCCAGAGGAAGCCCTTCCTCCCTTAAGCTGCCTCTTGTTGGATATTTTACAAGAGCAAGAAAAGTAATTAAGAAAAACTACAAAATGAGGTAAGAAGTGTTGGTATAGGCAGAATATTTGGGGTGCACAAAGGTCTTATTTGTCTGGTATCTGAATATGCATAGATGGCGTAGTGCCCATTGCATTGCAAGCATCCTACATGCATTATATTTAGTATCAATATGTATGTGTAGTAGGATGGCAAGCACTAATATTCCAGGCAAGCATAGCTTCATCCCAGGGATGGGACAGTGGATCCTGATCAAATCTGTCACCACTTGTCAAACAGGAAGAGGTGCCAGTTTAGAAAGTTTGGCTACTGCACACTTTTAAGCAACTATTTTTTAGAAGTTTATTTCTTTACTTTTATTTTTTTTTTAAATCAACTTGGGGGGAAATCCTTGTTTCTTCTCTGTTGAACTTGTATATGGTTTTATTTGCTTATGTTAAGGTGGAAGAGCACTCAGCCATTCAAGGCTATGAAGGACTCTTAGAATATACAGGTCTGGCAAATGCAGGCCTCCTGCCTCCCCTGGGGGAGGGTGTGGCTGAAAAGCAGAGGCCTCGCGGGAGGAGCAGACACAGACCCTGAGTAATTTTCTGATGTTCCTTCTGATGGAGAAATTCCCACAAAAAAGGCAAATCTAATACTGTCTAAAACTTTCCTGACACAGTTGCAGAAGACTGCAAAGTTCAAAAACGTGCCTCACGCTTCTGACGAGTAGGATCAGCTGAGAAGTTTTACCCTGCCAAACTGGATCCCAATTGAAGGCAAATTAGAAGGCTGTCTTCTGTGTAGTCCTAGTAATACTAGAAAATGGGATAAAAGATGGAACATCCCCAGGCAGGAGATGGATTAAAGGCAGTACCATGTATCCTAATGATAAAATACCCACCAGAATGGGGATAAATGTGGTGTTTATACTTGGTGCTCTGAACAAAGATACATTTCCAGTGATTGCTTATAAAATATTGTATTTTAAGTATTTATAGTTTCATTTGACATTGAGAAAAAGGCTATGGTAAATTTTGTATACACTTCATGGAGCCTTCTCTAAAGACAAAAGTATGTCTTAAAGGCAGCTGAAGTAGGCTGGAGATTGGCAAACATGATTAAAATCCTATTAATGTCAAAATAAAAGTAAATACATTAAATTGTGAGCGCTGTATCCTTGGAGAGTGACTTACTATCTGTACAGGAAAAGCAGCAGAGGGATTTGAACTTTTAAATTTGTAAGTGTCTCTTCTATAATGTGGTGACCTCTATATTAATCTATTCATATAGATATATAGATAAGCACTTCAAAGAGGATATACAACAGTTAAAAAGCTCAAATAGTAAATTTAGAGAATTATTCATATGATAGAAAGTCCATGTAAATTAGTTCATGTTTTAGAAAATGAATTATTTTAAGCCTGACAGGTTTTGTGGGAGAACGATGCCTATACTATCCACAGCTGAGGCCGTTTACCCCAGAACTCATGAATATGTCTCCGTAAGCTAGTATTGCTCAGGAATCAGAGAAAATATGTTCCACGATTCCGTGGATTTGGCCCTGTAGGCAAGGCCAGCGGTATATACTCAAACATCAAAAGATACGGTGATTCTTAATTCATTTCTTATATTGAATTATAATATTAGCAGGCTTATGCTGTAGCCATATTTTCCTAAGCCAGCTTTTGGGCAGACATGTACCAGGAGTTGTTAGAACTCAAATCTGGCCTTGGTATGCAATCTTGACTATTTTAAGTTCTCAGCCTCCTCATGTAGTTTTTTTTTTTTAAATCAACCTTTCTCCATTCTGCAACTATTCAAGTTTTCTGGTCCATAATCAAAACCACATTTCCAGCCATATGTACCAGTCAGTAAAGGGCGATGGGGCTTTCGAGTACTGTGTCTCTTTAAGCTTGAAGGTATGTGTGTACTATGCTTCATCCTATTTATCTGGGGCAGTCCCAAATACCACGGGCTGTTTCATGGTGGGAGATAAGCGGGAAGGGGAAGGTGACGTCAGACTGCTGCTGGGCAACCGGGGTGGGTAACGTAACACTCTGTTGGTCACTGCTAATGTGTTTAAACGTTTGTTTAGTGAGCGATTTATCTCTGGCACATTAGAAACTTGTTAATGGTGTTAGGGGTAATTGCTGTTTCTGTGATTAAGATGTAAGGAACAAAGGCGCACAGATAACAAGACAGTATTTACATGATATCTGTAAGCTGCATGAATAGAATTTTCTGCCCTGAATGGCAGCCAGAGGCCCATGAATCATTCATAGTGTTTATATCACTAAATGAATTCCTTAAGCAGAATTAGCAAAGACACTGATTCATCTGAAGAATGCTAGTCTACTCTCTGTTTTCAGGGTAGCCTGAAATAAAAAAAAAATACACTGTGTGTGCTGGCTAGGAACAGGGCTATTTCCCCGAAAGTCACACATGGGCATGTAGAGACACACATACTCAGGCATATCCAGACAGCCATTCATTCATGCATGCATCGGTTCATCCACCCAGCCAATATTTACTGCAATCCAACTCTTGAGGCTCCTGTGTGTTCTCAGAGGGCTTACAAAAGCTAGGGTGGAGACGAACGTCAACAAAGAATTCCACAAGTGATTGGTTGGCTGCCAACAGAGGCAAATACTCAGAAAGAAAAGAGTACGTTCCGTGAGACTGTACCATGTAAAATAGGGGAGGAGCAGACCTACCCTGCAGGTTAGAGCGAGCTCAGGAAAGTCCAGGCTGACTTTCCTGGGATTCCAGTGTCTAAGGATTAACTAAGAACGAGCGGGTGTGTCATGACAACTGTCCAGTGCTGGTGAGCGTGCAGGTGGGGCACATGTCTGTGTGTGTGAACTGTCACACACTGGGTGGGAGGGGAAATGAAATATCAAGGATTTGAAGAGAAACATGGCAGGCACCTGGACTACAGAGAAATAAGGTCAAATGATTGCGCTTGCAACTAGGAAAAGGAAGACCAAAGTATCAGGGCCCTGGAAACCACAATAAAGAAAACACCTAAAGGGGCCATGATGAAGAACTCTAAGCATACTCTGTTTTCCACCAATCACATACATACATTAAAAGATACTTGCATGACCCCCAAGCCTATGTCTCTGTCTCTGTCTCTGTCTCTGTCTCTGTCTCTCTGTGTGTGTGTGTGTGTGTGTGTGTGTGTGTGTGTGTGTGTGTATGCCACAGTGTACATCTGAAGGTTCGAGGACAGCCTCCAGGAGTGAGTTCTGTCCTTCCATCACGTGGGCTCCGTGGGTTGAACTGAAAGTTGCCTCCAGGTACGGCTGCAAATGCCCCCCCTCAGGTGGATTTGTTAGTCATGTCATGACCTCTCTCTCATCTTGCTTTTTAAGAAAGAATCTCTCACTGGCCTGGGGCTCACCAGTTAAGCCAGCTTGTCCGGTCTGTGATCCTTGGGGATCTACCTGCCTCTGGCTCTCTGGTTCTGAGTTTATAAACTCGCTGCTAGTTTTCCACATGGTGTTGGGAATTGAACTCAGGTCTTCACGTTTGGGCAGTGAGCCTGTTACCAACTGCACCATTTCCAAAGAGGTTCACTCCTGTGAGGTTTTCACTACAGAGTTCCTTCACTGGGCTCTTGGTGCAGCTTACAGACATGAGTGCCCACGACCAACCTGCTAGCACTAGAGAGAAGATACAGGGTTCCCAGCTGAACCCCTGAGGTCCCAAGATGTTTCAACCCAGATGTACTTTGCTTGGGTATTTGTTGTACTTTTATAACTACAAGAATCTCACATTTGAAGAAAAGTGAGAAAACACATTAGAAGTTAGTGGGTAGCACAGTAGATAGGAGGGCTGCCAACTCATGAGGGTGCCCACGGAGCCCCCACAAAAAAATTCTAGTTTAAGAAATCCCATGCATGTTCACCCCTTTGTTTGATTTGCAGAAACTTTTGATGAGTAAGATGTGTCCTACGTGGTGACTTCCTGCAGAATGTCTTCGGCCTGAGCAGACCACAGCGTCTCAATTGTTTCTCAGAACTCATCCACCATCTAAAGACAAACCCACCCATGGAAAGTCAGCATGCCATAGCCAGGGGAGGATGCCCGGTGTGACTGAGACCATAGCATTCATCACTCCTTGTGCTGTGATTTGATCATGTTCCCAATGGCACACATCCACAGGGTACCAGGTCAGTGAGCCAGCAGCTTACTGTGACACAGAAAGAGAGGTCTTGGATCTAGAGTACAGACTTCCCAAAATAGATAAAAGAACGCTCTGTGAACTCAGCTGAAACATTCATGTCATGGCCGTGGAAATCCTGAAGAACACTCATCACCAGGCAAACTCAAAAGGGCTCGTTTGTCAACAAATTCAGAACAAGGAAGTTGAAGGAAAAAGAAAAAGATATGTATCACACATACATATGAATGTAGTCTTCTCTGGTGCAGCTTATGGACATGACAGCAAGTCTTCAGGCACAATAAGAAGAAAGGAATTTATTTATAACTTATAAACAAGACTCTCTGCCTATCAAACAGCTAGTCTCAAGAGAATAATTGCTTTTTTTGAGTATGGAGTGGAACACTTAACTTGGAAATTATTCTTTACAAATATTAATTGAATGGTCCACAAAGGTCTGTTTGATAGCAAAGCAATTAAAACTCAAGTGGGTAAGTCAGCTCGTGGTTGTGAATTTTTGTGTGCTATGCTAGAAGCAACATGTGTGTACATGGGCGTGTATGGGTGTTCATGGGTGTGTGTGTGTATAGAGGGGATGCATGCATGCAGGTGCAGGAAAAGACTTTTCCTTTCCTTCTGACCAGTCATATGTTTGACAGCGTAGATGGAACTGGCTGCTGTGGTGTCATGGAAACCTAGCCATGGAAACCTGATAGAAATATCAGGCTACGAAAGGAGAAGTGTTCAAGAAATCACCATGGACAGACTGTTGCCAAGAGCGTTGTTTGGAAAACCATGCTTACAAATCTGCAGCTTTGCTATGCTGAAAACTAACTGGGGATTCAGAAAATAGTGGCACATTGATCTTAGGGAACTGAATCGTTCAGATCGAAGGGCTGAGAGGCTGAAGCCGCCTGTGAACCTGATGCACCTCCAGCTCCACTCTCAACAAACCCCATCAGTTTTCGGTCACAAAAGTGTTCCCAGTCTACGTCTTATAATGTGTCCCTCTAAGCTATAACCTCCTATCTCCAAAAGTTTCTCTCAATACATTTTCATGGCAAGCTATTTTTTTTCCAAGCACTCACCTTGCTTTATGTTCATTTGTGTCCTTCCTTCCTTCCGTCCTTCCGTCCTTCCTTCCTTCCTTCCTTCCTTCCTTCCTTCCTTCCTTCCTTCCTTCCTTTATTAACTCATTTACAGCTACATTCAATAAATATTTACTGGGAGCCTGTTCTGGTCCAGATATTGTTCCAGTCACTGGTTATACAGTAGTGAAAAATGGCAGGCGTTCACTGCCATGGAGCAGACATTTGAATGGACACAGACAAGGGAATAAATAGCAATCAAGAACAGTGCCTACTGTCCGATGGGAAGACAGACATGCAATCTATTATCCCTCAGTGCCCTGAGCTAACATCACACAAATCAGACCAGGTCAGTGTCTGCTAAAAACCTCTCAATGGCTTCCTGAGGCAAGCAGAGTAAAATACAACTAACAAACATGACCTACCCACATCGACCCACTCAAGGTGTTACTTTGGTTGGCACACATTATGTGAACAAACAGGGCATCAGATCTGCGTCTTGAGAATCAAGGGGATTCTTCAAAGAACGAGGACTTTCCCCAGTCCCTTCTTCTTTATCATCTCCAGTTTCCTTTGCACGAGTATTTTTTTTTTCTCGAGTGCACTCCATATTTTTTAAAAGGCCAGTTTCCCTTTGATTACCAGACCATTTCCTGGGAAGCTGAACTTGACAAGCTATCTGACTTCAGCGCTCTCATCCATAAAGCGGGGATGGCTGTGTTTTCCCTCCGCCACCTGACTCAAAGGACCTGATTCTCTGCTCCCAAATGAACATTTGATTCCTTCTTCCCTTTAAGCAAACAGACACGCTTCCTCCTTGATTGCAGATGAACTTACTGACAGCAGAATGAGAGAAGTCCCTGAAATAAGAGCATGGTTCTTCAGTTCGCAGCAAGATAACAGCGGAGGCACGAAACTTCTACCGCCTGGGAGACTGGTAACCTGTCACAGCATCTCAGCCGACACCAAAGTCTTCTCTTCAGCAGGTATTTTTGTGCATTTAACCTTCACTGGGCTGGTGATTACGCAACATGTTTGTTCCCTAAGCACACATTGTTCTCACAGGGACAGGACCATCGCTAAAAATCCCGCTCACAGCCTTCCTATTCATAAGTACCAGGCAATGTCACAGAAAGACCTTCCTGGCTGAGGCGCTGACCAGTTCCTGAGGTGAGGATTCAACCTCTATTCCTGTCCTGTTCTGCGAGGTAGAGGCTATGGGACGTCATCCTTCAGTCTTCCTGCGGGTGCTGCCCTACAGCACAGCTGTTCTGTAAAGGCTTCAGAGAGTAGCCACCATCTTCTGCTTGTCCGTGTGACAGGGAATCAAGTGATCTGGAGAGGGAGGGGAGAGGGAGAGAAGGGGGGCAGGGAGAGAAGAATTTCTAGCAATCGTGGATCATAAATAATACCAGGTAGTCCACTCTCTTTCTAATCCCAAGTAACAACATTTGATTGACATTGGGTTTTGACCTTTGAGATTTGTTTCTTTCATTATGTAGACATATTCATCAGTTAAGAACATAGATTATAAAATAGCATTTTCTGACTTATATTCTAACTGTGCCAATTATTAGCTATGGAGCTCAAAGGGAAATTACTCTTGGCTTGTTTGCCTCAGTTTCCTTGGCTAGAAAAAGTAGAACTCTTTCTGGAGAATTGCATTATCTAGCAAGACAATATGTGTAAAATATAGAATATGCTCAGTAAATAGTAGGGACCCGTGAATGTTACTTAGAGGTGCTAATTGTTCTTTGTCAACGTGATGTAAGCCAGGGTCCTCTGGGAAGAAGGAACCTCAGTTGAGAAAATGCCTCCACCAGAACGATCTGTCGGCAACTCTGTGTGGGCATTCTCTTGATTCATGATTGAAGTGAGAGGGCCCAGCCCACTGTGGGTGTGCAACTCCTGGGCAGGCGGTCCTGGATGGTATCAGAAAACAGGTTCAGTGGCCATAGTGAGCAACTCAGTAAGTGGCACTCCTCAGTGGTCTCTGCTTCAGTTTCTGCTTTCAGGTTCCTGCCTTGGATTCCCTTCATAATGAACTGTGATTGGGACACATAAGCCAAATAAACCCCTTCCTTGCCAAGTTGCTTTCATTCTTGGCACTCGAAACTAAACTAGGAAAGATATGCATGTTGAAATGCAAACAGTCTGTGACTTGGGAAAGACAAGGGGATCTCTCTCACCGCTGATTCCCAGAGCACACAGCAGACACTCAATAAATGAAAGCAGAGATGATGAGCGTGGACCTTTCAGATCTAAATGCAGAGGATTATTTATTTACCTTTCTCTTGTTTTGGACAGGGTTTCACTGTGTAGCCATGGTTGTCCTAGAACTCTCTCTGTAGACCAGGCTGGTCTTGAACTCACAAAGATCTGCCTGCTTCTGCCTCATGAGTTCTGGGATTAAAGGTGTGCACCACCACCACCACCACCACCCACCCCAGCTACTTACTTAATTTTTTAAAAGTTTAAAAAGTATTTCTCGTTTCTGTATGTAGTGTATGTGTGTGGACCTATGCACACCATGGCACATTTGTGTAGATCAGAGGATGGCTTGCAAGAGTCTGTTCTCTCCTTCCACTGCGTGGGTCCCTTAAACAGTGAGCCATCTCTTTGAATCTTAGTGTTTTCTAGGAATATTGGTAAGATTTGCCTGGGCACTTGTTGACCTCTTAGTGGGAAGAGCAGGACCACAGTCTCATCCTGGGACACAGGAATGACAGAACCGCACATTCAGGCGTGTTAGTAGCTGGTGCCCTGGCTCTGCCTTGTTGGCTGTGTTGTCATGCACAGCTTTCTGAAGGCACCGAAGGCTGTTCCTGCATCTGGTGCCTGCTTCTCCGCCTAGGTGCCAAGAGGCTTCTGAGCTGGGGATATGGTGATGCTCCCCTGTCTCCAGAACCCAATTGGCTCTTGATTTCTGTAGGCTTAAGGGCCCTCTTGATGAAATGATAGAGATCTGTCACTCAGCACAGGCACCTAAAAACATTCTGGAAGATGTCCAAGAGATCCGGGGAATAACTCCATCCCATCTCCAGCCCTAAGCCAGGAAACATCTGAGCAGAGAAACAACTCCAAGTTCTTGATGGGGCACAAAAGCAAACACTGGTGTTTCTAGTCTTGGGGTCCTAGAAGAGTGCAGTCTCAAGGGGCTCAGAGAGGAAGTGTGAAGGGCAGTGGGACAGGTTGTGGCAGAACTCCCAAGGGCCTGTCTGAGGCCACACAGCACAGGGAGCCCTCACACATGGCTCTCAGTGAGGTCTGTTTTCTAGCATGGCTGAAAACCATGACATCACTCTTCCAGTTAGAGGAAACCTAGAGTGTGCCAACAGCAGTATTCCCTGAGATCCAAGTCAAACAAACCCACCCCTCTCCTATCCTGAGGAACGACACCCTGTGAGGAAAAGGCAATTCTCAGCGTCCTTCCTCAGGCCCTGAGAGCAGAGTGCCAACCTGAGGTGAATCTCTCTCACATCTCCTTTCCCTGTGTGTGTCTATCTTTCTTTCTTTCTTTTTTTTTTTGTAATTTTATTAAATTATAAAAAGTTTCCATTTACGCCCCTCCTCCCAACGCCCTCCCACTCCCCCCCTCCCTCTCCTCCTCCCTCTTTGTCCCCTAGGGAAGTCAGGGTCTCCTGCCCTGTGGGAAGTCCAAGTTCCTCCCCCCTCACTCCAGGTCCAGGAAGGTGAGCATCCAAACAGACTGGATCCCAAAAATCCAGTATATGCAGAGGAAACCAGTCCCAGTGTCATTGTCAATGGCTTCTCGGAAAGACTGCAGGCCAGCCACATTCAGAAAATCCGGCCACATTCAGAGAATCTGGTTGGATCACATGCTCGTTCAGTCATGGTCCATCTGGCCTTGGTAAACTCTCATTAGATCCGACCCCTTGTATCAGTGGGTGATAGTATCCCTCGCAGTCCTTCGTCATTTTCTTCCTCCTTTTGCTCCTCGTTTGGATCTTGGGGGGCTCAGTTCGGTGCTCCAACGCGGGCCTCCATCTGTATCGTCATCCAACGCCAGATGAGGGATCTATGGTGATAAGCAAAATATTCATCAGTATGGTCACGGGCCAAGGCCGGTTCAGGCACCCCCTCCTCTGTCCAGAGAACAATCTGGGGATCTCTCCTTGGACCTGGGATCCCATATATAATCAAGTTTCCTGTAAACTCTAATATGACTCCCTTAGTTGAAATATATTCTTCCCTGATCCCACATTCATCCTTCCTCCCTTCCCCCCATCCCGGTCAACCGAGCTTTCTCCATTCCTCCCCTACTCCCTTCTCTCTAACCCTCTCCCCTTCCATCAACCCTCCCCACCCCCCCCCTGCACCCAAGGTTACCTGGGACTCTTGACTATTTCCTACCTCCTGGCGGATAGGTAAATAATCTTCATCAGGTTCGTCTTCTTATTTAGCTTCTCTAGGATCACGAATAATAGGCTCAAAGACCTTTAATTATGGTTAGAATCCACTTATGAGTGAATACATACCGTGTTCCTCTTCTTGGGTCTGGCTTACCTCACTCAGTAAAGCGTTTTCTATGTCCATCCATTTGCATGCAAAATTCAAGATGTCATTATTTTTTACCGCTGAGTAAAACTCTAATGTGTATATGTTCCACACCTTTTTTAACCATTCTTCTATTGAGGGGCACCTAGGCTGTTTCCAGGTTCTGGCTATTACAAATAGTGCTGCTATGAACATAGTTGAACAAACGCTTTTGTAGTATGTTTGGGCATCTCTAGGGTATATTCCCAAGAGAGGAATTGCTGGGTCCTGAGGGAGGTTGACTCCCAGTTTCCTGAGAAACCTCCACACTGATTTCCAAAGTGGCTGCACAAGTTTGCATTCCCACCAACAATGGATGAGTGTTCCCCTCATTCCACATCCCCTCCAGCATAGGTTATCATTGGTGTTTTTAACTTTAGCTATTCTGACAGGTGTAAGATGGTATCTCAAAGTGGTTTTGATTTGCATTTCCCTGATCGCTCAGGAGGTTGAGCATGACCTTAAGTGTCTTCTGGCCATTCGAAGTTCATCTGTTGTGAATTCTCTGTTCAGATCAGTACCCCATTTTTTAATTGGGTTAATTAGAGTTTTAGTGTCTAGTTTCTTGAGTTCTTTGTATATTCTGGAGATCAGACCTTTGTCTGATGAGGGGTTGGTGAAGATCTTCTCCCAGTCAGAAGGCAGCCTTTTTGTCTTACTGACAGTGTCCTTTGCTTTACAGAAGCTTCTCAGTTTCAGCAGGTCCCATTTATTCATTGTTTCTCTTATTGTCTGTGCTGCTGGGGTCCTACTTAGGAAGTGGCCTCCTGTGCCTATATCTTGTAGACTACTTCCCACTTTCTCTTCTATCAGGTTCAAAGTGGACAGATTGATGTTGATGTCTTTAATCCATTTGGACTTGAGTTTTGTGCAAGGTGATAGATATGGATCTATTTTCATTCTTCTACAGGTTGACATCCAGTTATGCCAGCACCATTTGTTAAAGACGCTTTCCTTCTTCCATTGTATACCTTTAGCTCCCTTGTCAAAAATTAGGTGTTCGTAGGTTTGAGGGTTAGTATCTGGGTCTTCTATTCGATTCCATAGGTCGACTTCTCTGTTCTTATGCCAATACCAAGCTGTTTTCAATACTGTAGCTCTGTAATAGAGTTTGAAGTCAGGGATAGTAATGCCTCCAGAAGTTCCTTTATTGTATAAGATTGTTTTGGCTATCCTGGGTTTTTTGTTTTTCCATATAAACTTAATTATTGTTCTCTCAAGGTCTGTGAAGAAGTTTGATGGGATTTTGATGGGGATTGCATTGAATCTGTAGATTGCTTTTGGTAGAATTGCCATTTTTACTATGTTGATTCTCCCAATCCAAGAGCAGGGGAGGTCTTTCCATTTTCTGGTATCCTCCTCAATTTCTCTTTTCAAAGGCTTAAAGTTCTTGTCAAATAGGTCTTTCACATCCTTGGTTAGAGTAACCCCAAGATATTTTATGGTGTTTGTGGCTATCGTGAAAGATGATGTTTCTCTGATTTCCCTCTCCGTTTCTTTATCCTTTGTGTATAGGAGTGCCACTGATTTTTTGGAGTTGATCTTGTATCCTGCCACGTTACTAAAGGTGTTTATCAGCTGTAGGAGTTCTTTGGTAGAGTTTTTGGGGTCGC